TATGCGGACGGTTTTTTCCTTTCAATTTATGCTTATTTAATCGCTTCGCTCATTCCGCCGGCCCATATTGTCGCACCGTTGTGGGCTAGCCGAGTTTTGGGGGCCGTTTTGGGGCCTCTTGGGGCCTCTTTTGGGCCTCTTGGGCGCCTCTTGGGGCGTCTTGGGGGCCTCTTGGGGGCCTCTTGGGGCCTTTTTGGGGCCTCCTGGGCGCCTTCTGGGGCGGAGGGCTCGATTTTTCAGTTCTCGGTTCCCCTCTTGAGCCCCTCTTGGGCCCGTCTTGGGGCCTCTTGGTCCGTCTTGGGCGGCACTTGGGCCGTCTTGGGGGCCCTCCTGGGCCGTTCCGGGGCCGTCTTGGGAGCCTCGTGGGCCGTCTTGGAGCGGTCTTGGGGGCCTCTTGGGCCGTCTTGGAGCGTCCGGAAGCCGAAAAAGCCAGAACACAAAAAACATTGAAAAAACCAATGAAAATCAACGATTTTGGCCTCTTGGGGCTCTCTTCGGAGGCCTCTTGGAAGGCTCTTGGGGCGTCTTGGAGGCCTCTTGGGCTGTCTTGGGGGCCTTTTGGGCCGTCTTGGGGTCATCTTCGGCGTCTTCGAGCGCTCTTTGGGCGTCTCGGGGGCCTCTTGGGCAGTCTTGGGGGCCTCTTGGGGCACTCTGAGCGCGCTCTGGGGAGCCTGAGAGGCCGCACCCAGAAGGAAAACCATCTCTGAGTAGACTTGGTCGGGCGGTGGTCGGGCGGCGGTCGGGCGGCGGTCGGGCGGCGGTCGGGCGTTGGTCGGGGTACTTTTCGCCGGGGGACCCCCAGGGGCCGCCCCGCGCGCGCGAACTAGAAATACTGTTAATACTGTTAACCAGTTACCGGAGATCTTAGCACGCCCTGGCCCGTTGGGCCGGCGAATTTTAGAGTATTGTCGGGGTATTTTTGATGTTTCGTCCAAATCCGCCTGTAGGAGGGCATGCCCGACATCAGGCCAGCGTTTTCAAGCTCGGGCCCCGCCAGGGGGGCCCCGCCGGGGGCCCGAGCCCCCGGAGCCCGGGACCTGCAGGGGACGTCCCGCGGCGCGAGGTCCATGCGAGCGTCGGGGTCGAGAGGCCCGGCCACCACCCGTTTTGTTGTTGGTCGTTTTTGTTGCTGGTTCGGGTGGGGTGGGGGGGGCGTTGGAGGTCTGGGGCAAGAGAGCTGAGGGCTCGGAGGGCGTCACCCTTGCAGCACGCATGCGCAGGTCCTGGACCCAGGGTCGGTGTAACTGTGCCGTTCCGGCCAGGGGTGGAAAGCGTATCGCCTCCTGGTCCTCCTCTTCCTCATCCTCCTCCTCCTCCTCCTCCTCCTCCTCCTTCTCCTGCTCCTCCTTCTCCTGCTCCTCTTCCTCCATCTCCTCCTCCTCCTCCTCCTCCTTCCTCCCTCTGCTCGATGCCGGCCGTGCGGTGCGTGCGGTGCGTGCGGTACGGGTGAACATGGAGTCGCATCCTGCAGCAGCGGAGCCGCACGTGCTCCACGGATGAGATTGCGCAAGGGCGGCACGCAATAGGATGGCATCTGCCAGCAGCAATCGGGCGGTACCAAATCAGGTCGCACTAGCATCAGCGGGTCCAGTTTCAGCGTCACCGTCCACGCCTTCTTCGGTTCTTCAGCGAACTCTCTTCAGTGGATTAAGTAAGATCATTCAAGTTCACCATGCAGTCTCAAGTTGCATATCATGAAGCTCAAGGAGGAGTTTCAGCACACGGCGTCGATCACGGCTTCCGGGTCGCCATAGGAGGCCATCGAGAGAGCAGCAGGGCAGTGCGTATCTGCCCCAGACGCAACATCACCATGTGGTCTCCACCCCGGTAGACAGCACGGTCCAACTTACCTCGGGCGGAGGAAATGGGCCGCGAGGCGACCACGAATTCGGTGGCCGCGGAGCAGACCCCAAGAGAACAAGCCGCTCGCGCTCTCTCGCACTTCGGGAAGGCTTCGTTTCCCAGAGGGAGGTGGATGCGGCCGAGGGCGCCAAGGAGCGCTTCGCCTCCGATTCAGGCAGGAAGCGAGGAGATCCAGGCGCAGCTCCCAGCCCTCCTCGCCGCCAGGTGGCGCCGCGGAGCCCACGGAGGCCCTGCCGCTGAGCAAGCCACGGCGTCCGCCGCTCGTTGCGGTTGGCAGCTCAGCAGGTGGCGGCAGGGCCCGCAGCTCCGAGGAGGAGAGGGTCAAGGCTGAGGTCGCCGCCCGAGCCGCCCGCATCAGTGCCGTCAAGACCGCAGCAGCCGGGGCTGCACAGGCGAGCAACCAGAGCAGGTAAAAGCGGGGGTTGGGCAGCCTCCTGTTGGAGCGTGAGGCTTGGAGGGCAGCGAGTCGAGATTCGGAGGGGGCGCCGAGCAGCCCTTTTGAATACGTGCTTTGGGCACGGCCCAATCCCCGGAATACCAGACGTGCAAATGAGAACGACCACCCTGGATAGCCCAAACGTTTCGTGCGACGGCTCGATGTTCACCGATGGTACGAGCATGGACGAGGAGCATCCCTATAAGCTCTTCTTTCCAGCTCAAGAAGCGCCCCCTTTGAAAGACGAACGCCCAATTGTCCTGCCATTCAGAGGGGAGCCCCGTTTTGAGAGGGCATTGCTTCACAGCGGATTTCTGGGCTGGGAATGCGACAAAGTGGGAGCATCAAATTCAGCGAGGTGTCCGACGATGGCTCCGTCTTGAAAAGGGGCCGCCCCCCTCCCCTATCCGTGCAACTGCTGCACGTGTTCACGTTTCTGGTCACTCCGCTGGAGGAAGTCCCATCCGAGAGCCTTGCCTGTGAGAAGGGACCGGCCTCCATCCGTGCAGCTGTTACATCGGTTCGGGGTTCTGGGCGTCAGATTTGAGGGCGCCTCGAGCGAGAGCCCCATTTGGAGAAGGTAATGGCCTCTATCCTTGAATGTTGTTGTGGAATTCTATCGATGGCGCGTGGCGCTAAGCCGAGAGTCTCGATGTTGAAGCGTACCGAGCTCCACCCTAGAAGAAGTTGCAAGCTTTCAGGACGAGTGTGCTCGGCGCTGCGGCGAGAGCCGCATGTCGAAACGGAACCGCCCTCCTTCATCGTAACTCTTGCGCAGGCAGCGGGTGTCCGTTTAGCCAAGCCAGTATGAATATTGAACAGGAACCGCCCTGCATTCTTGTAAACGTTGCAAGCTTCGAGACGGCTGTGCACAGTGCGAAGGCGCGAGCGCCATGGTGGAGAGGTGCCGCCCTCCATCCGTGTAGCTGCTGCAGGTCTTGCAGCATTCAGCCAAACGCCCCTGGCCGGCCCACGGTAACGTCTGGCGGTGCGCCAGGAGAGAGTTATTCAGCATGAGAAAGGTTGGAGCAGGAGGAGGAGGAGGAGGAGGAATAGAAGGATGATGATGATGAGGAGGAGGAGCATGACAAATGGGGGCATAGGAGGAGGAGGAGGAGGAGGAGGAGGAGGAGGAGGAGGAGGAGGAGGAGGAGGAGGAGGAGGAGGGCGGAGAGAGGAGGCGGAGGGAGGAGGGAGGAGGGAGGGAGAGAGAGGGGAGGGGCGGGCGGAGGAGGAGGAGGGAGGGAGGGTTGGCGAAAGGGCTGGATGGGGGGGAGGGGCCGGAGGAGGAAGGAAAAGGGAGGAGGGAGGAGGGAGGAGCGGCGGAGGGAGGGAGGGAGGGAGTTTTTAGAGAGGAGGCGCGGGGGAGGGAGGGAAGCGAGGGAGGGAGTTGCAGGGAGGAGCGGAGGAGGATGGCAAGGAGGGAGGGAGGGAGTGAGAGAGGGATGGATGGGGGGCTGTCCCTTAGTGGGCCCTGGAAACGACAGGGCCGTCTTTGGTACCCGGTTCCGTCTCGTTGTTTTGTTTTTGTTGCCCGTTCCGACGCCGTTTTTTTTACCGGTTCCGTCGCTGTTTTTGTTACCGGTTTCGGCTCCGGGTCCAATCCTGGAGCGGTTTTTCTGGCCGCTTCCGGTCGCCGTTGTTGTGCCGTTTCCACTCGGAACGGTGAAGAAACGGCCCTACCGTTCCGGGGCCCACTATCAGGCGATCGCAAACATGGATCAAGGGGGCGTGGATTAGCGACGGGTCCCCATTCTGGAAATCGCGGATTTCCACTGCCGAGCAGGGCTGCACCGGCCGCATTTTGGGGAGGGCACCTCCCCCGATCCATGCATGCGCGCCCCCGACACTTTGGGCTGACCCCCCCCCCACTCCCCCTTGCAGGTCTGGGCCACAGCTGCGGCGCTCGGCGCCCTGTCCCTCGCCCTGGCCGACGTCTCCGGCGCGCACTTCAATCCGGCCGTGAGTCCGCCCTCCGCCCGCCGCGCGCGCGCGCGCCGCGCGCGCCGGCGAGCGGGCAGGGCCGTCGCCGGCGCCGTCGCCCAGATCTCCGACGATCTTTCGTGCGATTGTCCCCGATTTTCGGTCTGCGGGTCTGCCTGCGAGGTTCGGGCCTCCTTCCCAGAGTTCCGAGGAGTTGTCCGACGACGTTCCGTCTGGGCGTTCTCGATCTTCGGTCCGGGCTTTCGCTTCCGGTCTTCGGTTTCCGGGTTCTCGGTCTTCGGTTGTCGGTTCTCGATCTTCTTTGTTTTTACGGCTTTTTGGTTTGGGGGGCCGTGAACAACCAGCCCAGGACGAACAGCTGCCCTTGGCGAGGTGATGGAGACCTCTGGGGCCTCTGCAGGGGAAGAGGACGGAACGGCATGAACAGACGCTTCCGCAGCCCCGAACGCTAAGGTTTCCGCTGCCTTTGCCTCGTTCTCGCTTGTTTCCTTGATAGCGTTTCGCTCGAGGGTGGTACTAGTGGTAGCAAATGATCACAGAAGAGTCCCGACGGGGAGGCCTAGACCGTCCGGTCTGGCAGCCGTTCTGCTTTATATTCCGTAACCGTTTTTTCAGCAGTCTTGTTTCAGGAGAGAATATCTCACCCCCCACCCAAGAAACCCCTTGGGTGGGGGGCCCAGGGCCCGATGGCTCCAAAAATCCAGAACGCCGTTAAAATAAACGCGCGAGGCAGCGCCCCGCGTCATTGTAGGTCCGT